AGATTTACATGCACAAAAGAATGAACATCCAACATGACAGTTACCTTTATTGAAGGCTGTTGTTGATGAATGGAAGACAGGGAGGAGGAGAGAGGGAAGAGAGGTTATTGTTTGGAAGGGAAATCCCCCTCCATAAGGACTCTAGGTCACTTCAGGGGTCACTTCCCAAGCATAAATATAGATTTACATGCAGAAAAAAATTCCAAATAAATGTAAAGCACTAATAAAATGTATAAATGAACATTGGTAATAGGGATAGTTGATGAGTGGAACGGTATGCCTAGTAGAGTGATCCAAGCTAAAACATTGGGTAGTTTCAAATTTAGGTTGGATAAATACATGAGTGAGAGGGGTTGGATTTGAGTTGGACTTGCACCTGAGCTTATTGCTTGGGTAGCATTTGTTCTGTTAGTGGGTTGGATTTGTGAAGGACCGGCCTAGTATGGGCCAACAGGCTTATTGCAGTGTTCCTCCTTTCTTATGTTCTAAAAGCTATGGCTTGGGTAGTTTCAAATTTAGGTTGGATAAATACACGAGTGAGAGGGGTTGGATTTGGGTCGGACTTGCACCTGAGCTTATTGCTTGGGTAGCATTTGTTCTGTTAGTGGGTTGGATTTGTGAAAGACCTGCCTAGTATGGGCCAGCAGGCCTACTGCAATGTTCCTCCTTTCTTATGTTCTTATTGGAGACTTGTTTGTGCAAGGAAGGGATGGCAAGTTTATTGTTGGAGAATATGACACTAATATCAACTCTACGGCTTATTTATCTATCACAATCCAACTAATATGACATAATAAACAATATTAATAACATAGTAACATAGAATATACTCTAGAATGAATAAAAAAAAGTCATTACGCATGTCAAGAGGTGTTGTGTTGTTGTTGGGTATATAAGGGCCACTGAGAGTAAGCCGTCCATAATGGTGGTGAAACAGCAGCTGAGGCGGTGGTGTTTTCTGTAGCCCTATATAACTCCAACAACATTAGAGGAGTTGGTAGAATCGCTGAACCACTAAAGAAGGAACCCTCTACCACCATCACTATGACCTTCTACCACTATTACAACTGTTACCACCATCACTACTACCTTCTACCACCATCAACCGCTATCACAACTGCTTCCACTCTACCACCACCACCTTTGTATTTTTGTACAAACTTTTTCATAAATTATATGTTTTTTCTGTCTCATACACATGCAAGATTTCAGGTATGTCTTGCTACTTCTACTTACACTTAGGTCACACTACACATACATGTACAAGCATATATATACACACCCATTTGGGTTTTCTTCTATTTTCTTTCTAGTTCCTGTTCTTGTTTATTTCCTCTTACCTCCATGGGGAAGTGGAACAGAATTCTTCCTCCGTAAGCCATGCGTGTTGTAAGAAGCAACTAAAATGCCGGGAGCAAGGGGCTAGTAACCCCTTCTCCTGTATATATTACTAAATGTAAAAGGAGAAACTTCCGTTTTTCCTTTTGGGTCACCCTGCCTCGGTGGGATACGGCCGGTGTGTTGAAAGAAAGAAAGATATGTTTTTCACATTCTTTACCAAAGGGCTGGCACTAGAAGCTTTCTTTGGAGCCATGGTAGCTTATTTAGCACTTGCAAGCACTAAAATCAATGGAATATTATGAAATATTTCGTAGGAGCATGTGAGGGCACCGTCGCTCACTGGTAAACAATGGCACACTGGCTGGGAAGGCAGGCCCAGGCGGCTCAGAGCGTGAGTACGCGTCCCGGATGAATTACGATTAGTGAGTTAACGGACCATTTGTGAGCCAATGTTTAGACGAAATAACGGGACTATTTCCGAAATGGACGACTCTCAGGCCAGATGATTATTGAGGGACCACTGTATGCTTCAATGTAAACACTTGATCTACACATCCCTTACCCACTCTGAAACCTCCTTGCTCATCAGCAATCCTACAGTCTGTCTTACCTCTAATTCTTTCAATTATAACCCTACCGTACACTTTTCCTGGTATACTCAGTAAACTTATTCCTCTAATTTTTACAATCTCTTTTGTCCCCCTTCCCTTTATATAAAGGGACTATACATGCTCTCTGCCAATTCCCTAGGTACCTTCCCCTCTTTCATACATTTATTAAACAAAAATACCAACCACTCCAACACTATATCCCCCCTTGCTTTTAATATTTCTGTCATGATCCCGTCAGTTCCAGCTGCTTTACCCCCTTTCATTCTACGTAATGCCTCACGCACCTCCCCCACACTCACATCCTGCTCTTCTTCACTCTTAAAAGATGGTATACCTCCCTGGCCAGTGCATGAAATTACCACTTCCCTTTATTCGTCTACATTTAAAAGTTCCTCAAAATATTCTCGCCATCTACCCAAAACCTCCATCTCCCCATCTACTAACTCCCCTACTCTGTTTTTAACTGACAAATCCATTCGTTCTCTAGGCTTTCTTAACTTGTTTAACTCACTCCAAAATTTTTTCTTATTTTCATTAAAATTTCTTGACAGTGCCTCTCCCACTCTATCATCTGCTCTCCTTTTGCACTCTCTCACCACTTCTCTTCACCTTTCTTTTACTCTCCATATACTCTACTCTTCTTATAACACTTCTGCTTTGTAAAAACCTCTCGTAAGCTAACTTTTTCTCTTTTATCACACCCTTTACTTCATCATTCCCCCAATTATCCTCTTTCCTCCTGCACCCACCCTCCTATAACCACAAACTTCTGCCCCACATTTTAATACTGCATTTTTAAAACTATTCCAACCCTCTTCAACCCCCCCCCACTACTCATACTTGCACCAGCCCACCTTTCTGCCAATAGTTGCTTATATCTCACCCGAACTTCCTCCTCCCTTAGTTTATACACTTTCACCTCCCTCTTGCTTGTTGTTGCCATTTTCCTCTTTTCCCATCTACCTCTTACTCTAACTGTAGCTACAACTAAATAATGATCCGATATATCAGTTGCCCCTCAATAAACATGTACATCCTGGAGCCTACCCATCAACCTTTTATCCACCAATACATAATCTAACAAACTACTTTCATTACGTGCTATATCATACCTTGTATATTTATTTATCCTCTACTTCATAAAATATGTATTACTTATTACCAAACCTATTTCTACACATAGCTCAATTAAAGGTTCCCCATTTTCATTTACCCCTGGCACCCCAAATTTACCTACTACCTCCACAACATTTTTGCCCACTTTAGCATTGAAATCCCCAACCATCATTACTCTCACACTTGGTTCAAAACTCCCCACGCATTCACTCAACATTTCCCAAAATCTCTCTCTCTCCTCTACACTTCTCTCTTTTCCAGGTGCATATACGCTTACTGTAACCCACTTTTTACATCCAACCCTTATTTTACTCCACATAATCCTTGAATTAATACATTTGTAGTCCCTCTTTTCCTGCCATAACTTATCCTTCAACATTATTGCTACTCCTTCTTTAGCTCTAATTCTATTTGAAACCCTTGACCTAATCCCATTTATTCCTCTCCACTGAAACTCTCCCACCCCCTTCAGCTTTGTTTCACTTAAAGCCAGGACATCCAGCTTCTCATTCATAACATCCACAATCATCTCTTTCTTATCATTTGCACAACATCCACGCACATCCAGACTTCCCACTCTGACAATTTTCTTCTTCTTATTCTTTTTAGTAATTATTACAGGAAAAGGGGTTACTAGCCTATTGTTCTCGGCTGTTTAGTTGACTTTTACAACACGCATGGCTTACGGAGGAAAGATTCTTATTCCACTTCCATAAGAACATAAGAACATAAGAAAGGAGGAACACTGCAGCAGGCCTGTTGGCCCAAACTAGGCCATGGATATAAAAAGAAAAGTAATAAGACCAAGAACTATTAAGATAAAATCAAAGAAAACTCAGATGAGTGTGTATAAATAAACATGTATATGTATGTGTAGAGTGACCTAAGTGTAAGTAGAAGTAGCAAGACGTACCTGTAATCTTGCATATTTATGAGACAGACAAAAGACACCAGCAATCCTACCATCATGTAAAACAATTACAGGCTTTCGTTTCACACTCACTTGGCAGGACGGTAGTACCCCCGGGTGGTTGCTGTCTACCAACCTACTACCTACAATGTAAATACTATTTACAAACCCTAGCAGAGCAAAAATTAGGGGGTATATCATAACGATCTTCCCCAGCATTTAGTGAGGGGGACAGGCTACCAATATTTGGTCCAGGAAAAGGGTGAACAGTGTCCTGATGTCAAAATTATAATTATTTTATGGGTAAAATCTTATGTTTAGTTACAGTTTTGTGGTTGTAACAAGTGAATATTGTTTTAAGTAATTTCATGAATTTTCTTTCATAGGCAGAATCATTATGAATATTAATACAATTGTAAAAACTCTGAATTAAGGAATTTAGTGAAAATGTTGCTTTTTCAAAAAAATATTTTTGCTCTTCAGAGGTACCCATTGTATGTTATATTCAGTGCAAGTTTGAGTGTTTCAACAAGAGCCTTGATACTGCATTCTGTATTGTATGTTGCAATACAGAGCACCACATTATTATCATAATCATGGGGCAAGCACTAAACCCTTAGGGATTATACAATGCCTATTGGGGGGGGGGGGGGTGGAAGGTATTCAGGCTTAATTCTGGGAACTGGAGCACAGATCCAATTCCCTAAATTAAGAGCCCCTCATCACCATCAAGGAACCTCCCTTGAGGGGCAAAACAGCACAGTATAAACGGAAAACAAATTAATTTTACTGTTTTCAGTTGCATAGTCTTTGTTTTCTTATCAATATCTTCATTTTTTACTCTCATCATTTAACCCTACTGTGGCGTAAATGCTGGAAACCTGCGCAAGCTACCATACATGAGCAGAGACAAGACAAACATCATACATGTTACAGTAATATTTAACACTAGAAACTGAATACTTACCAACAGCTACAAGAAGCAAATGTTTCAGAACTTTTATTTAAACTGCAAGTCTTACCATGCTTAATAAATGCTCCGATAACTTTATCAAGTCCAGAAGGGTTGGTGCTGGCCCACACTGAGACTGACGTCCCAGGAACAGCATACCTTAGTGGAAACAATTTCACTTACATTAGTCACTAAAATATCACTGACCACAAGACAATTCAGGCATCATGTATGATAACATATCACTAAAACATTTTAAAATAAAATTCAGAAAACTTACTCAGATAAGAATATATACTCTAAGTTGATCTCTGTATAGTATGATCATGCCCAACGAGTTTTGCTTAAAGTTAGTGGTTTTCTTTTGCACTTAGCAATATTTTACTACATATAAATTAAATTTTGTATACTGCAGAAATGAAATACAGTGGACCCCCGCCTTACAAACGCATTGCGTTACGTTAAATCCGCCATATGAAGCATTTGAACACAAAAATTTTGCCTCGCCTCATGATAAAAAACTTGCCTTACGTGATTCGTCTGGGACGCGTCCCGTGTGGCCTCAGCACCAGTGTTTACACGCCAGCCAGTGCGGTCGCATCTACGCATAAATTCGGTACATTTCACATTATCCCAGTGGTTTTAGTGCTTGTAACTGCAAAGTAAGTCACCAAGGACCCCAAGAAAGCTTCTAGTGCCATCCCTGTGGTAAAAAGGGCGAGAATTAGTATGAAACTGAAAAAAGAAATGTGTGGAAAGTGGGTTGAACTGCAAACCTTTACAGATGAAAATCACCCTGACACAGCTACGGCAAGCCGTGCTGGCAATCTGTACAATGACAATGTTATGGCCCATTTTAAGAAAGTCGTGACAGGTCCAGTGACTCTCAAGCTGGTCCTAATGGCATTAAAAGAAGAAGGGAAGTAACCCCGGAAAAGGACTTGCTACCTCAAGTCCTAATGGAAGGGGATTCCCCTTCTAAACAATAACTTCCACACACTCCCCTCCTCCCATCCCATCAATCATCACCAGATCTTCAATAAAGGTAAGTGTCATGTATTCTATTCTTAGTAGAGTAGTAATTGTGCATGTCTACTTCAGTTTGTGTGTATTAAAATTAATGTTTCATGTAGTAAAAAAAATTTTTTTTCACACTTTGGGGTGTCAGGAACGGATTAATTTGATTTCCATTATTTCTTATGGGGAAAATTAATTTGGCTAACGATAATTTCAGCTTACGATGAGCTCTCAGGAATGGATTAATATCGTAAGGTGGGGGTCCACTGTACATGTAAAGTTGTACAGGTTGGCTATCACTAATCCGGCAATCAGTTATCCGGTTCCACCAGTAATCTGGCACTAATTTTGGCTAGTATAATTTCAAATTTCATCATTATATTGACTCAAATTTTATCATTATACTAAGAAATTGTGCAGATGGTTTGTAAATCCACAGCAGCACAACTGTGGAGGAAAAAGCAGTGATGAAAATGAGGATGTAGCAGAAAAATCTCTCTATTGATAGGTTAATTAAGTGTATTCTAACCTAACCACTCTGTAATCTGGCAAACTCACTAATCTGGCACACTACAGGTCCCAATGATGCCGGATTAGTGATGGCCGACCTGTATTGTATTGTAATTAACCCCTTCAGGGTCCAAGGCCCAAATCTGAAGTGGTGCCCCAGTGTCCAAGAATTTTCAAAAAAGAAATTTGTTAGTTTTTCTTATGAAATGGTAGAGAATCTTTTTGTGAAGGTAATAAAACAAAAAGTACAAAATTTGATGGAAAATTGACGAAATTATGCTCTCGCGAATTTTGATGTGTCAGCGATATTTACGAATTGGCGATTTTGCCGACTTTGACTCCCATTTTAGGCCAATTACATTATTCCAATCAACCAAATTCTTAGCTATTTCACTAGTATTACTTCTATTCTATCGATTAAGCACAAGAAATCGCCAAGCCAACTGTTTCAACTACAAATTAAAGTGATCGGAAATTGTTAATTTGGCCAATTTAACACAAAGTTCAAAATATTCCAATTTCAAAATAGGGCCCAGAATAAACAATGTAGGTACTCCTGGAACTAAACTAACATTTCCTCTGTTCATCAGTTATGTTTTGAGGCTTTACAAATAAATTCCATTTTGATTTTTTATTCACACCAAAAAATAGAAGATTTACTGTTATGCAATACTGTAATAATTGAATAAATATCATCATCATATTTGTGAATGCATATCAGACCCACCAGCTGGTGTGTATTAGACATGTGAGGTGGTTTGTTTACTCTTGAATATCGGCAAAAATTTAACATTTCTGCTACTTTGAGCTCGGTTTCAAGCCATTTCCAGTGCTAAAACCAATCAAAATCATCTCTATTTCTGTAATATGTCTTCCATTCTATCAAATGAGACCAAGAAATTGCAAATACAACTATAAAAAACATACGAAAAAACACTGCAAAGTCGCTGTTTTAATCGAAAAATCATGATTTCAGTTTTTTTCTCTCATTATACACAGTGTGCTGCAGGATCTGTTTTATGTGGTGCACACATACCACATAGATGTATTCTCTCATATCTAGGCCCAAATGTACCACTCACAGTTTATCAGAGTGAGCTGAGCTCATGACGTAGATCTACGGTTTGGACCCTGAACGTAAAGCCATAGATCTACGGGACGGACCCTGAAAGGGTTAAGATGCAGTGGAGACAGTGCTCAGGGTAACTAAGATTTTAAAATTGTGGTCCACACTGTCCAGCTAGGAGATGGGTTTGTTAAAATTTTTTACTGTACGGTACTAACAAAAAGTTATTGTTATGAACCTCTCGCATTTCTGCATCTCTCGTCACAACCTATCCGCCAAAACACCCAAAAGAATTGTTAGTGATAGTGGAAATATGAAACAAGTGAAAATTTGATAAAGAAAATAACTAGTGATGTTTACAGTACATGTTTCCTAAGTTCATAAAATCTTTAACTGTTTCATATTTCATGACTGATGATACTGAATTTGATTGTGTTTGTACTGCTAGTAAGAGTAATTCAATAACTAGCTTTATTTCAGTCACTGCAGTATCTGATAAAGTTATCCCCATACATGTATTAGATAAGCTCATCCTCCTCTACCTCAATACATGCAAGAGGAATAGTGGAGTCTGGTCATGAAATTGTACAAAGCAGCAAAATGTATGTATACATAACTATGTAGGAATTTTAAAAGATTTTCTGGGTACATCATAAATCTTTAAAATTTTTTCATCTATCAGCTCTGAGCTGCAAATACGCAGAGCTCATAAAAACATGGATGAGAATACAAAAAGTTTAACTGTGTGTATGCCTGTGCCCACAAATTTCTTTACGTATGTGCATTTAATATACATATATATTGTATGTTTGCATGTATTTATGTGCATATATGATATGTGTATTTACATATGTAATTCTTTTTGTATGCATACACATGTAGATTCTCCATGAGGAAGTGAAGAATCCTTCCTCTGTAAATCATGTGTGTTGCAAGATGTGACTAAAATGCCAGGAGCAAAGTGCAAGTATAAATTATTAAATATACAGCTGGAGAGTGTTCCAGGGGTCAACACACACCCCTCCCATGGCCCGGTCCACAACCAGGCCTTACCTGGAGTTTACCTGGAGAGAGTTCCGGGGGTCAATGCCCCAGCGGCCCGGTCTGTGACCAGGCCTCCTGGTGGATCAGAGCCTGATCAACCAGGCTGCTACTGCTGGCTGCACGCAAACCAACGTACGAGCCAGAGCCCGGCTGGTCAGGAACCGACTTTAGGTGCTTGTCCAGTGCCAGATTGAAGACTGCCAGGGGTCTGTTGGTAATCCCCCTTATGTATGCTGGGAGGCAGTTGAACAGTCTCGGGCCCCTGACACTTATTGTATGATCTCTTAACGTGCTAGTGACACCCCTGCTTTTCATTAGGGGGATGTTGCATCGTCTGCCAAGTCTTTTGCTTTCGTAGTGAGTGATTTTCGTGTGCAAGTTCGGTACTAGTCCCTCTAGGATTTTCCAGGTGTATATAATCATGTATCTCTCCCGCCTGCATTCCAGCGAATACAGGTTTAGGAACCTCAAGCGCTCCAGTAATTGAGGCGTTTTAATCTCTGTTATGCGCCGTGAAGGTTCTCTGTACATTTTCTAGGTCAGCAATTTCATCGCCTTGAAAGGTGCTTTTTAGTGTGCAGCAATTTTCCAGCCTAGATAGAACAAGTGACCTGAAGAGTGTCATCAGGGTTTGGGCCTCCCTAGTTTTGAAGGTTCTCATTATCCATCCTGTCATTTTTCTAGCAGATGCGATTGATTACAATGTTATGGTCCTTGAAGGTGAATCCTCCGACATGATCACTCCCAGGTCTTTGACGTTGGTGTTTCGCTCTAATTTTGTGGCCAAAATTTGTTTGTACTCTGAAGAAGATTTAATTTCCTCGAGTTTACCACATCTGAGTAATTAAATTTTTTCCCTCATCGTTGAACTTCATATTGTTTTCTGCAGCCCACTGAAAGATTTGGTTATGTCCGCCTGGAGCCTTTGCAGTGTCTGCAATGGAGGACACTGCATGCAGATTCGGGTGTCACTGCAAAGGAAGAACGGTGCTGTGGCTGACATCCTTGTCTATGTCGGATATGGATGGGGAAACAAGATGGGAGCGAGTACTGTGCCTTGTGGAACAGAGCTTTTCACCGTAGCTGCTCGGACTTTACTCTGTTGACGACTACTCTCTGTGTTCTGTTAGTGAGGAAATTATAGATCAATCGACCGACTTTTCTGTTATTCCTTTAGCACGCATTTTGTGCGCTATTACGCCATGGTCACACTTGTCGAAGGCTTTTGCAAAGTCTGTATATATTACATCTGCATTCTTTTTGTCTTCTAGTGCATCTAGGACCTTGTCATAGTGATCCAATAGTTGAGACAGACAGGAGCGACCTGTTCGAAACCCACGTTGCCCTGGGTTGTGTAACTGATGGGTTTCTAGATGGGTGGTGATCTTGCTTCTTAGGACCCTTTCAAAGATTTTTATGATATGGTATGTTAGTGCTATCAGTCTGTAGTTCTTTGCTGTTGCTTTACTGCCCCCTTTGTGGAGTGGGGCTATGTCTGTTGTTTTTAGTAACTTGTAAAAAGACGAAAAATCTCATGAAAGCATTTCTTTTTTCAGGTCACGCTGCCTAGGTGGGAGACAGCCAATGTTAAAAAAAAAAAAATGTGTAGATGCATGCATATGTGGGTGTGTATAAGTATGTAAGTAAGTTTATTCAGGTATACACAAATACAGTTACATAGAATTATCATACATAGCAGCATATGTGTAGAGAACCTAGGATAACCCAAAAAAGTCAGACAGAGTGACTTATTTCCATTGGGGTCCTTTTACCTTATTATTATAATATAAAGGTTATAATATTTTCTTATTATTCTACAATGAAGATAACATCTTATTATCATACTAAACAGACTATCTACTACACCAATGTCATTAAGACTATCTACAATACGAGGGTCATTACTAGGAATAAGGTAAAATTTACACGTATGTTAGCTAAAAAATAGAAAAATCATTCCCCCCCTTTCTGTAGCTACATTCATCAGACACCTTTTGGCACTCTTCTTGAACTGGTTCATGCTATGACCGGCTTTGACATGTTGCGGGCATTTCTGTTCCATTCCTTATTGCGGTACAATAAAAGGTGTTTGACGCCTGGCCAATGACTGTGGGTACTACAAAGTTGTGCTCTCTCCCCCTGGTACTATGATTGCTTTGGTTCCCAACCTTGACAAAATTGACAGCAAGATATTCTGGACATTGTTTGTGAGCAATTTTATAAACATGATTTACTTCAGTTGTTTTACTCTGTCTTCAACATTCAGCATATCCAACTGCTGTAATTCATCCTGGCCTACATGTTCTCTTGGTATGCATGTGTATATATGTATGTGTACATATGTGTAGAATGCATGTCTGAATGTATAATATGCATACAGTATTTATGAATGCATATATTTTTTCTACACTTTGATATACATTTGTGCATATGTATGTGTGTGGCAATGTATGCACGTTCCTTCTTGATGGTGAACTTAACCAGTGATGAACTAACTGTCCTGCTTGGTGGTGAACCTGACCAGTGATGAACTTACTGTTCCTGCTTGGTGGTGAACTTGACCAGTGATGAACTTATGGTTCCCCCTTGGTATGAACAACCAGTGATGAACTTACTGTTCCTACTTGGTGGTGAACTTAACCAGTGATGAGCTTACTGTTCCTACTTGGTGGTGAACTTAACCAGTGATGAACTTACTGTTCCTGCTTCGTAGTGAACTTAACCAGTGATGAACTTACTGTTCCTAAATTGGTGGTGAACTTTAAACCCGTGATGAAATTACTGTTCCTACTTGGTGGTGAACTTAACCCGTGATGAACTTTCTGTTCCTGCTTGGTGGTGAACTTAAAACCCGTGATGAACTTACTGTTCCTGCTTGGTAGTGAACTTAACCAGTGATGAACTTACTGTTCCTGCTTGGTAGTGAACTTAACCAGTGATGAACTTACTGTTCCTACTTGGTAGTGAACTTAACCAGTGATGAACTTACTGTTCCTACTTGGTAGTGAACTTAACCAGTGATGAACTTACTGTTCCTACTTGTAGTGAACTTAACCAGTGATGAACTTAATGTTCCTACTTGGTAGTGAACTTAAACCATGATGGGAACTTACTGTTCCTGCTTGGGGGTGAACTTAACCAGTGATGAACCTTACTGTTCCTGCCCTTTGGGAGTGAACTTTACCAGTGATGAACTTACTGTTCCTACTTGGTGGTGAACTTAACCAGTGATGAACTTACTGTTCCTACTTGGTAGTGAACTTAACCAGTGATAAACTTACTGTTCCTACTTGGTAGTGAACTTAACCAGTGAACTTACTGTTCCTACTTGGTAGTGAACTTAACTAGTGATGAACCCTTTTTTGTTCCTGCTGGTAGTGAACTTACCAAATGATGAACTTACTGTTCCCGCTTGGTAGTGAACTTACCAGTGATGAACTTACTGTTCCTGCTTGGTGGTGAACTTAACCAGTGATGAACTTACTGTTCCTGCTTGGTAGTGAACTTAACCAGTGATGAACTTACTGTTCCTGCTTGGTGGTGAACTTTAAACCCGTGATTTAACTTACTGTTCCTGCTTTTGGGAGTGAACTTAACCAGTGATGAAAATTACTGTTCCTGCTTGGTAGTGAACTTAACCAGTAATGAACTTACTGTTCCTGCTTGGTGGTGAACTTAACCAGTGATGAACTTACCGTTCCTGCTTGGTGTGAACTTACAGTGATGAACTTACTGTTCCTGCTTGGTAGTGAACTTAAACCCCGTGATGAACTTACTGTTCCTGCTTGGTGGTGAACTTAACCAGTGATGAACTTACTGTTCCTGCTTGGTAGTGAACTTAACCAGTGATGAACTTACTGTTCCTGCTTGGTGGTGAACTTAACCAGTGATGAACTTACTGTTCCTGCTTGGTGGTGAACTTAACCAGTGATGAAAATTACTGTTCCTGCTTGGTGGTGAACTTAACCGTGATGAACTTACTGTTCCTGCTTGGTGGTGAACTTAACCAGTGATGAACTACTGTTCCTGCTTGGTAGTGAACTTAACCCGTGATGAACTTACTGTTCCTGCTTGGTGGTGAACTTAACCAGTGATGAACTTACTGTTCCTGCTTGATAGTGAACTTAACCAGTGATGAACTTACTGTTCCTGCTTGGTAGTGAACTTAACCAGTGATGAACTTACTGTTCCTGCTTGGTGTGTGAACTTAACAGTGATGAACTACTGTTCCTGCTTGGTAGTGAACTTAACCAGTGATGAACTTACTGTTCCTGCTTGGTAGTGAACTTAACCAGTGATGAACTTACTGTTCCTGCTTGATAGTGAACTTAACCAGTGATGAACTTACTGTTCCTGCTTGGTAGTGAACTTAACCAGTGATGAACTTACTGTTCCTGCTTGGTGGTGAACTTAACCAGTGATGAACTTACTGTTCCTGCTTGATAGTGAACTTAACCAGTGATGAACTTACTGTTCCTGCTTGGTAGTGAACTTAACCAGTGATGAACTTACTGTTCCTGCCCTTTGGGGGTGAACTTAACCAGTGATGAACTTACTGTTCCTGCTTGGTGGTGAACTTAACCAGTGATGAACTTACTGTTCCTGCTTGGTGGTGAACTTAACCAGTGATGAACTTACTGTTCCTGCTTGGTAGTGAACTTAACCAGTGATGAACTTACTGTTCCTGCTTGGTGGTGAACTTAACCAGTGATGAACTTACTGTTCCTGCTTGGTAGTGAACTTAACCCCGTTTATGAACTTACTGTTCCTGCTTGGTAGTGAACTTAACCAGTGATGAAATTACTGGGTTTCCCGCTTGGTGGTGAACTTAACCAGTGATGGGCTTACTGTTCCTGCTTGATAGTGAACTTAACCATGATGAACTTACTGTTCCTGCTTGGTAGTGAACTTAACCCCGTGATGAAACTTACTGTTCCTGCTTGGTGGTGAACTAACCAGTGATGAACTTACTGTTTTCCCGCTTGGTAGTGAACTTAACCCGTGATGGAAATTACTGTTCCTGCTTTGGTAATGAACTTAACCCGTGTGAACTTACTGTTCCTGCTTTGGGAGTGAACTTTTAACCCGTGATGAACTTACTGTTCCTGCTTGGTGGTGAAAATTAACCAGTGATGAACTTACTGTTCCTGCTTGATAGTGAACTTAACCAGTGATGAACTTACTGTTCCTGCTTGGTAGTGAACTTAACCAGTGATGAACTTACTGTTCCTGCTTGGTAGTGAACTTAACCAGTGATGAACTTACTGTTCCTGCTTGGTAGTGAACTTAACCAGTGATGAACTTACTGTTCCTGCTTGGTGGTGAACTTAACCAGTGATGAACTTACTGTTCCTGCTTGGTGGTGAACTTAACCAGTGATGAACTTACTGTTCCTGCTTGGTGGTGAACTTAACCAGTGATGAACTTACTGTTCCTGCTTGGTGGTGAACTTAACCAGTGATGAACTTACTGTTCCTGCTTGGTGGTGAACTTAACGAGAAGATTAACATCTTCTGACATTCCCTGCTGCTGCTGCTGTTGCTGTTCCATGCTGCCTCTACCACCTGTCACAGCTGACCACTCCTGCGACCTGACGACCTGTGTGGCTGCTGACGACCTGTGGTGCTGCTGACGACCTGTGGTGCTGCTGACGACCTGTGGTGCTGCTGACGACCTGTGGCTGCTGACGACCTGTGTGGCTGCTGACGACCTGTGGTGCTGCTGACGACCTGTGGTGCTGCTGACGACCTGTGGTGCTGCTGACGACCTGTGGTGCTGCTGACGACCTGTGGTGCTGCTGACGACCCGTGGTGCTGCTGACGACCTGTGGTGCTGCTGACGACCTTGGTGCTGCTGCGACCTGGTGGCTGCTGGGCGACCTGTGGTGCTGCTGACGACCTGTGGTGCTGCTGACGACCTGTGGTGCTGCTGACGACCTGTGGGGCTGCTGACGACCTGTGGTGCTGCTGACGACCTGTGTGGCTGCTGACGACCTGTGGTGCTGCTGACGACCTGTGGTGCTGCTGACGACCTGTGGTGCTGCTGACGAACTGTGGTGCTGCTGACGACCTGTGGTGCTGCTGACGACCTGTGGTGCTGCTGACGACCTGTGGTGCTGCTGACGACCTGTGGTGCTGCTGACGACCTGTGGTGCTGCTGACGACCTGTGGTGCCGGCGGTGTGAGGGAGACTCCCGGTAAACACTCACTTTAACACTATTATTCTCCTCCTCTGCTGCTCTTATTCCCTGGATGATCCTGGGAGATGCCTGCTGGAGCAGCAGGTGAGGTGTTGTAGTGGTAGTGTGTTAAGCAGGAGCAGTAGCAGGTGAAAATAAGATAAGTTCACCTCAGCCGCCACAACACAACCTCATGCTTCCTCAGACAGTCTTAATATAAACAATATATCATAACACTCAAAATCATCACTGTATTTCTCTTCTCTTATCTCTTTATTCGTATTGTATATTAATATTTATCAACGCACTTTACTTTCACTGAAATATTTTACATTTTTTTCTTTCCACCCAGTGTTTATATACATGGCAGAGGTCCAGCAAGACTCCAGGAATCAATAATCATTCTCATACTGGCATGAATTCAAAGTTTATTCTCTATAAGGATTACAATGTTGAATTTACAGAATTTGGTTATTGTGTGGTTTACATGTAGTTAAATAATGATTACAGAGTGTACCACTAGAACGCCTAGCATGGCTAGGCATTTCGGGCAGACTTAGTTTAATTCTTTATTTTAAAATATTACAAATTATGAGGTAAGTTGGTATTATGGCAAAGGGACTAAATACTAGTTTGTGAGTTTAGCAATGTGAATGCTTTTGTTTTGGCACAGTACATAGTTTCAGCATTGGAGTATCATAGGATTCATTATTTTAAGATTGAGATTAATATTTCTGTTTATGGTCAAATGAGTGAGTGAGTGTGTGAACCACCAGGTGGTATTCGTGTAGTTAGTTGATGGGGTTTATCAGGGAGATAAGATGTTTTCTAATGGTAGTCTTGAAGGTGATGAATGTGTCTGCAGTTCTAGAGTTTTCAGGTAGGGTGTTCCAGATTTTAGGGCCTTTGACAGCCTTCAACAGCCTCCCATCAAGCATTTTTTTTTTTTTTTTTTTTATATTTTATTTATAACATACAATACATTAACAAAAGCATACAATATGAGAGCATCGACAGACAATATAAAATTCATCAATTTCTATACACTGCAATATGCAGTAATATGTCATGCAGCTGATAGGTGAATACTGCCATATACATAATTCATAACTACAAAATATAACTATTCAAGTAATACAAAATAAAGAATCCTCTGACTCCTTCCCAACTGCTAATTTCAATATCCACACACAATAATTATATACCGCAAAAATGCAAGCAGTATAACCCCCCCCCCCTATTTACCCCAGCTCACCAAAATGTACAGCATTTCACCGTTGTTTATGTAACTTATAAACTAACCATACTAAATTAAACTTAAGAACATATTAAATTGAAAACAATAACAACTCTACAGTAGTGAAAACGCCAGCTGCTGTCCTAATATTATTTATATATACATATGTATATATATACATTAGAAACTGACTTAGTTTACAATGGGAGTCAAATCCTAACTTTATTGCTGTCCCATGCAGCATTCTCAGACTTCTACTTTTATACGCTACTACGATAGCCTTCAGCAGAAGGCATTAATTAACAATATTAAATAACTATTAAGAATGCATGAACTCAGCACTCCCATGCACACCCCAATTACACACAATCGTTCTCTCTTGCACTTGTCACTCACCCACGCACATGCACACCAAACCAACATCTTTCGTTTGGCAAGCCCGTTTGGTACCCCCCCGTTTTTTTATCTAATGCTTTACACAACAATCTAAACCCACTTCCCCCCCCCCTCACAACTCTAGCAACTCCCCAACAGTTTATGGACCGTAACCCTCAGTGAAAGCTCCCTCCCATCTCCTCCCATAAATTCCCCGATTCCTATTCATTGTCCTACAAAAAATCCTCGCTAAAACTCGTTTCCTCGTCTCCCCATTATCCACCCCTCTCATTCCCCACGATATGTACACGAAATCCACCACGATATAAGCTACTCCCCGTGCCACATTCTCCCCCACCCCCCCTATATCAAGACTCAGCGCTCTCAACACTGACACCCCAGTTCCTCCTATCCTCCTGACCACTTTCCCCAGCCATTCCCTCACACTCCCCAAATAATCGCAAAAGTATACCACGTGATAGGCTGTTTCCAACTCCCCACATAACCCACACCAACCCTCCTCTACCACACGTCTGTTTCTGAGGACTGATCCAGTAGGCAGAATCCCATGTAAAAATTTGAACATGATCTCTCGCACCCTGGGCCCTAACTTTAGTTTACCGAACAGACTCCATATAGCTCCCCATGCATACATCGGGAACAGCCCCTCAACTGGGGCCGTCTCCTCTACCCTCAATATTCGATATAAATCCCTCACCTTTAATTTGTCTGGCTCGCGCGCCCACAAAAGTGCCCTCAACAAAATCTCACACTCCCTCCATTCCCCACCCACATACATTCCCCTCAAAATATCATGTAACCTTTGCATGCAAGCCCCCCTCTGTCCCCTAATCTTTTCCACTCCCACCTGACAAAAATGCATTTCGCCCTCCTTCCCAGGTCCAACAGACCTAAACCTCCCTTCCTCACTGGCAAAGTCACCACCTCCCTCTTCATCCATTCACATCCTGAGCCCCATAAGAACCTAAAAACACTTCTAAGGATACGAGTAATCTCAGCCCTCAGCAATGGAAAAACTGCTGCTACATACCATACCTTACTGTACAGCAATACGTTAATAACAATCGCCCGTTGCAACAATGTCAAGTGATAAGGCCGCAACATCCCCAACCGATGTTCCACGCGTTCCACCATTCTCAACGAATTCGCCCCCCTAGCCTCCCGTATGGTCGCTCCATACAAAATGCCACATATTAATAACTGCCCTTCCTGCCTTCTCACCACATCACAGTCCCAATCAACTCTGTCTCTCCACTCCCCTAGCCCCATGATCTTTGTTTTCTCAACGTTTACCGTCATGCCTGTCGCCCCTCCAAACATGCCAACCACCCCTCCCAACTCTCCCAATCTTGTTCCCTTCCGGACTAGGAGTGTCGTGTCATCCACGTAACCTACCACATGATGCCTAATCAAGCCCTCCCTCGACCCCTCCCCACCACACACTCTGGTCTCAACCAACCTATAAAATGGATCTTGCACACATGCAAATAATAACTGTGATAGCGGGCAACCCTGCCTCAAGCCCCTATCCATGTTCACCACACCTCCCACACGTCCATTGATCTGAATTCTCGCTTTTGCCCCTTTATACAACGTTTCAACCCACCCCACAATCTCATCCCCAAAACCTTGTTTGTTAAGGATCTGTCTTAAACCCTCCCTTTCCACCTGATCATAAGCACCCTGCCAATCAATCGCCACCATACCCCCTCCTTCCTGCGTCCCCTCAAAACTCTCAACAAACCCCTTTAGAATTCCGTGCCCCATGACCATCGACCGTCCTGGCAACCCTAGTTGACCTTTTGAAACTACACGTCCCACTACACATTTTAACCTATTCCCCAAAATCTTCGCGAACAATTTATAGTCCGCACACATGAGAGTAATCGCCCTGTAATCCTTAAGTGTACTCTGCCCCTTACCCTTGGGCACAAGCACTACGACCCCTGTACTTTGCTTCTCGCCCAATTCCTCCCCCATCTTTCATTCTATTGAACAGCGTTACTAAAAAACCCCTTAACAGATCCCAATGTTTTAAGTAAAATTCACTTGGTAGTCCATCAATACCTGGTGCTTTGCCTCTGCACATGTCTACAAGCGCTCTCCATATCTCCCCCTCTTCAATCTCACCACCCAAAGCTTCCCTGTCCTTACTCCCCAGAGCTACGGGCTCAACAGCACACACCCCATCAAGATCCTCCCTATTAACTCCTTTACTTTTCCAATAATGCCCATACCACGCATCCGCGAACATACTCATCACCTCCGTTGTTTTAACACCTGCCCCTCCCTAAACCCTTGCACCTCAGTGTGCACTTCCAAATCTGCTATTGTGGTCGCTGTTCTCCTCTGCTGTTGTCTCCTCAACACACATGCCGATGGCTTGTTCCCCCCAAAGCACTTCCTCCACACCCGCCTGCACCCGCACCGCATGAAATCTCTCCTCCTGCACTTCTCTTATCCTGCTCTTCAGATCATCTATTGCCTCTGTTTGGAATACCCCTCCCACTACTCCTTGTTCATGATAGTATCCTATTCTACTTTCCAAATAATTTGTTAATCCATACTTCAGTCGATTTATCCGCTTCCCCTCACCCACGTAAAACCTACGAATCCTCTCCTTGGCCCCACTGTCCCACCAACGTACAACATTATCAACCCTTTTTGCCTCCTCACTTAGCTTCCTCCACAGCGAAGCAAACCCCTCCTCCACTTCCTCATCCTCAAGGAGTCGCGTGTTTAATTTCCAGTAGCTTTCAAACCGTTTCACTAACGAGTCCCATGCTACCCCCACCACCACTGCCCTGTGATCTGAATAAATTGCTTCTATAGTGTTAAAAGACTCCACCGAAACCCCTTGCGTTATATAGATCCTATCCAGTCTAGCTGCGTATTCCCTCCTTACATACGTATGTTGCACTTCACCTATTCCACCCCAAAATGCATCTCGTACCCCAATATCTCTACACAGGTCTCGCAACACGTTTGAAAAATATCCCGCCCCCGCTGGCATCACATCAAATCTCCGTATTATACAATTCCAATCTCCCCCAATCAATGCAACCCTGGGCAGTGCTCTCAAGAAATACACCAGATCATCCCTTACAAATGCCGATTTTACCCTCGCATCGTTCTCCGCCGGAGCATACACTCCAACAAAGGACACGCGTTCACGCATCCACCACCCGTCCACTCTCATTATTCTTCCCTCACCCCCCCCTCAAACCTTTGCAAAACAAACGGGCTTGCCTCACGAATTAAAACACCTGCTCCACCTTTTAAACGTGTCGTTGGAGTTACAAAAGCCCTATATCCATCCACCTCCAGCAATTTTCCTATTTTCAAGTTATGCTCTTGTATAAAGGCAACATCTACCTTGTAACGATACAGCAGTCCTCGCAACCATACACACTTACCACTTTTACATAAACCATTAACATTAATTGTCATACACCTTAGGCCTGCTTACGTTTTCCACCCACCTTTCCCCACCACATTTTTCCGCTGTCCAGTAACCTCATACACACCGTCCTTGACACTCACCCCATCCCCTCCACTCCTAACCCCTTGCTGGCGTTTCTTTTTCTCTGTGCCTCTACACACACCTTCAATCCCCGCCTTTTTCCCTGGTCTTTGTGCTGGAGTGAGGACGTCATCCGAGTCAGACGTGACAGCTGCCCGCTTCCTCGACACTTCCTCTTCCGCCAT